TCATCCTTTCTCCGAGAACCGCTCCTCCAGAAACCGTCCCCGAACCGGCCCCACACCTCATTGTCCCAGTCAACGGCGTCGTTTGACCCCTTTCCATCCTTCTCTTCCTCATCATCATCCTCCTCCTCCTCCTCCTCCTTCCCATACCCGCCGCCTGGTAACCCCGACGAATCGATTCTCCTCTGATTCTCCTTCTCCTCCGGCGAATTCCTCCTCCTCTTCTTCTTCCGCCAGATGCCCCTCGGGAGGCGGTACACGGCGAGGATCAGGAGGTGCGCCGCGGCGCACGGGCAGCAGCAGCACACCGCCGCGCACTCCCCCGCCGTCTCCCCCACCCTGCTCCTCCGTCGTCGCCCGTTTCCGGCGTCCTTCTCCGCCGGGAGGAGCGGCTGTCGCCGGGCCGCCGTGGAGCCCGACGGCGACTCTACGGCGATCTCTCTGGACATTCGCGGGTGCGGAGGGCGGAGGGGTTTTTGGGTGGCGGCGAGCAGCTTGGTTTCATTAAGGGGAGAATGGAAATCTGATAAAGCTCCTGATCGAATCTTTTGGGATTGATATTCGGTAACTGAAAAGGAGAGAGAATGTGAGGAGAATTGTGATATGTGAATGGCTAACAAATACTAATAGAAAGGGAACTACCTTTTTCTCTATTATTTATATTTATTATTATATCTTTTTATTTTATTTTTGTGGATATCCATGAACGATGTTAGGAGATTCTAGGACGCTCTATTCTGTCGGAGTTTGTAATTATAAGATCAATTTATTCACGATAGTTACGTAATGATTTAACGGTTACAAATTTCGACGAAATGATTACGTAATGGGATTGCAGTGTTTTTCGAACAATGTAATGTATCAAATTCTTTACCACGAACATAAAAATTATCACTTAATTCGAAATTGTTATGGGGCGTTATACAATAAAAATGATTTTATTCAATTGTCAAGCTTAAAATAAAAAAATAAAACCGATAGAGAAAATGTACAAGATAATGTCACACCATGACAAGGTTGTCAAAGCGGTATTCATCGTGCACACTTCAAACTCCTATTTGGTAAATAGGAGTTT